TTTCTTAGATTTGTAGTAACTTCTCCTTGTATTATAATATTTCTTCTCCCACAGCAATTAAGTTGCTTTTATATCAAGAAAATGAGGAAGAGAGAAGAAAAATGGAAGAGAAAGTTTTAACTGAATATGTGGGTCTATATGTTATATTTAGATCCTGGTATTAATTTCATGCAAGGCCTTTGCTGGTTTAGCACACTAAATAATGACTTGAAGTATATAACTACAGTTTTAATTTCGAGAAACACTCGCTGTCAATAATTTTTAGTATTAAGAGTACAATTAATGTCACACATTTCATTTGTACATTGAACAATTGTTGTACTACTTAAAATGTGAGATCTCAACACATTTACTTTCCACTTGTAGATGTACATCAGAAGTTCTATATGATTTTATGTAAGCATTACAGCTTTTCCATGACTCCATATTTTTCTGAATACAATAGAGTACTTTAAAGTGGTGGATATTAAATCAAATTGCCATAGCCATACCATTCATGAAAGCTGTAAGAACTTCTAATCTTTCTAGGCTGTCATACAAATGGATTCACTTGGAATTCTCTTGAAGCACGACGGTTAAGAGATGCTTCATAGTCTGGTAAATTATATGCTATCCCTGAGCTTCTTGCATATGTCATCTTTGTTTAAAGGGTATATAAACCAAAGGAAGCTACACAAAGAAGGCAGCACTATCAGACAGAACACCTGGAACCAGTCTCAGCATCAGGTAGAAATACCTGATGTTATTTACCAAATCTTTGTGTAGTGGGTTTACATGGCAAGGTTTTGGTAGCAAGGGGCTGCATGGGGAGGCCTCTGTGAGAAGAATCCAGCAGCTGCCCCATGTTAGATAAGGTGCCCCAGTTTAAGCCAGCTCCAAAGGACCTGCTGCTGACCAGAGCCGAGCCAGTAAGCAATGTTGTTTGTGCCTCCATGAGAGCCAATTTAAGAAAGGAAAAAAAAATAGAAAATGCTGGGGAACATCAGCTGGGAGAGTGAGGAGTAAGAACCAGCCCTGCAGACACCAAGGGCAGTGCAGAAGGAGGGCAGGAGGTGCTGCAGGCAGGCAGCAGAAGTTCCCTGCAGCCTGTGGAGAGGCCCCTGGTGGAGCAGGCTGTCGCCCTGCAGCCCATGGGTCCCACATGGAGCAGATCTCCATGCTGCAGCCTGTGAGTGGAGGAGCCCCCAGTGAAGCAGGTGGATGTTTTCCTCTCCCCTGGAGGAGGCTGCGGCCTGGAGGAGGCTGCGGCCCATGGAGAGCCCCCGCAGGAGCAGGGGGTCTGGGGGGAGCTGCCGCCCAGCCGTGGGGGACCCATGCTGGAGCAGTTTGCTCCTGGGGGATGGATGGATGGACCCCGTGGGACGGAGCCGTGTGGGAGCAGTGCTTGAGGAGCTGCTGCCTGTGGGCAGCGCGTGTGGGATCAGCTGGGGAAGGACGGCATCCCGTGGGAGGGACCCCATGGGGAGCAGGGGCAGGGAGGGACCGAGAAGGAGCGGCAGGGACAAAGCATCAGGGACAGACCACAGCCCTCAGTCCCCCGTTTCCCTGTTCTGCTAAGGGGGAGGAGGTGGAAGAGGGCAGATGGGGAGAAGACGTTTTGGGTTTCTTTCCTTTGTTTCTCACGTGTCTAGTTTGTTGGTAGCAGGCAATAACTCTTACTATCTCCCTATGCTGAGTCTGCTTTGCCTGTCACGAGAATTGTTGAGCGATCTCCCCGTCCTTATCTCAGCCCTTGAGCCCTTTGCACCGTATTTTCTCCCCCTTTCCCTTTGAGGAGGGGGAGTGAGAGAGTGGCCGTGGTGGAACTCGGCTGCCCACCCGATTCAGACCACCGCAGTTGCAAAGGACTGGAAAAGTTTTCCGAATAAACAAGATGTTTAACAAGGAGATGCATAGTTTCCTTCTTAAGGCTTCCTGGAGAATTGGGGTTATTTCATATTCCCAGCTCAGAGGAAGAGAATTGTTGATTTCCCCTTCTTTTTTCTTACATGGAAATCAAAGGTGAACTGCCCTCCAAGCACAGGCAACGTATCAGAATCAAGCTCTTTGTGTCTGTAATCCTTTCCTTGAGAAAGGATTTATCACACACCTTCCACAGATGTAGGGGAGCAGGGAATAATTTTTGAACTACTCTAATTCAAGTCAGTTTGGGCATAGTGGTACTTCTCTAGCTGTTTCTGAGACATACGCATTAGCAACAGAGAGTGTTGTGCCGTCACTGGGAGGCGCCTGCGGTGGTGACTTCAGAAACAGAACTGAATGATGTCACCACAGCACTGTGGCAACAGCTGCCTCTGTGCACGTTTAGCTGGGAGGCACAGAGAAGGGTGCTGGATGTGATGAAACCACGTGAGGACAGAGAGGGCCCATGCCCTTCTGTAAGTGTTTTGATGCTTGGCTGGGGAAAACAGTGTGGTTTTGTTGTGAATGTTTCATTTTAGTATTCTGTAGTTTGTGTAAAGCCCTTACAGAAGCATCAAGTTTGGTACTTTGCTCAATGATGGAGCTGCACAGAGTGAGAACAGACCCAATGTACGGCTGAGGGCCTCTGCACGTTCTCTTCTTCCTACAGACGATCAACAAATAAGGGTAGACAGAGAAGAGTGTGCTGTGGTCCTCCCATAGACCGCAAGTGCTAAAGCATAAACAAGAGGCTTAAGAGTCCCCCTGTCACGTTAAAATTCAGGACAGCATTGGACTTCATCACATGGGCTGGCCTGTCGAGTAGTGTCTCAGGCTGTGGTGTATGAAGATGCACTCCATCTGCTTTCAGGCTAGCACTTGCAGTGGGCAAGCTGCCTGACCTTAACATTTGTCATTTCATTTTTCACCTGAGTTTTGCTTGTTCCCCACAATTCATCCCTTCTCAGTCTAGGAAAAAATAAATAAATAAATAAAAATAAAAGGATTTCCTTTCCAGTAACTACATGTTCTTAACTTGACAGATTTGATTATTGACTTAGAAGGCAAATATCTGGCCAGACTGCAAGACTTGTGCTCGCAGCGTGGGACAGCTCTCGTAAAGGTGATTCAGGGTAGCTTCTGGAAAGCAAGACGTCAGATCTCCAAAACAGCTTTCTTGGTGCTAACGTAGGAAGGGCGAGTAAGAGTAAAGGTAAGAGTCCAGATACCGTAAGAAGCGGAAAGTGTGAAGGAAACTTCCTTCTGGCTGATACAGCTCCATATCTAGTTGTCAAGTATGAAGAGAGCAGTTCTAAGTTTCTTGGGGAGAGGAAAACAAAGAGACTGGGAGATTGTACAAAGAAAAAAATGGGATTAGCTATTTCAGGAAATCATAGTAACTGGAAATAGAGATTGGAAGAGTGCTTTAAGCCAAGACAGAAACTTTTCAAAACTAAAACCTAGGAGTTGGATGAACCAAGAAATGAATCCATTTTGATTATGCAGTTGTGTCCAGTGTTATCTTGGGAAATATGGTTTCCACATAAAATGTATCTGGGGCTTGAAGTTTTCCTAACGCCCTTCTCTGTGTATTCCCTACTGTTTGGTAAGCGCTGAGGTCACACTGCAGACAGCAGCACGTCCTCTCCCCACTACTTAGCTGTCTGTTTTCACAACATGTCTGGCAACAGAATGGCTTGGACACAACTGCGTCTATGACCGAGTTCATTCAAGCTGGTGGACAAGGTAAAAGCTCTGGACAAGCAAAGGGGTGGGAGGGATGGATGGACATACAAGATGATCACTTTAATCTCATTTCTCTAAGAATCCTTGCTGAGAAAACAAAACAAAACAGAACGGAACAGCACAGAACAGAACAGAACAAATGAAACAAGCAGCTAGCTTGCTGGAGACATTGTCTGGGAGACAGTGAAAACACTTGCAGACAAAAACATACCAAAGGACTAACTCTTTGAGCTTAATTCTAATCAGACAGCATAACCTCAAAGTCCTGTTTCTGTTCGTAACAGGCTGGTACAGTAACATGTCACATTTGATGACTTTGCAGCATAGATGTCAGGAATGCAGCTTGGGATCACCTCCTTCTACTGAGAGTTCAGTTGGAAGGGATGAGCAAGTAATTTGTCCTGGGTTGACGGAAATCTGTTTCAAGGCTGTTTTCTAACACTCTTACAGACACTTCTCTGTCCGTCGGCCTGTCCTGCCAACTCTGGTGTGAGTGTGAAGCTGTGGCTAGAGGGGTTTCCCATTCCTATTGGACCTGGTGGACACCAGCTTTCCTAGGAAATTGCTGATGTTGCTGAGGAGGCAGCACTATCAAAGCCCTTGTTGATGAAGGTACAACAAGCTGGGGAGGCTTTGGCATTTCTGCACAGTGCTGCTCCCTGACTGTCACTCCAGACTCAGATTCGGAAAGAACCAAAGCAAGCTAGAGGAAAACTGGATGTCCAGGTAATTTTCGTTTATTTATTGTTTCATTCTTCCCTTGTAAGAAAATCTAAGTCTTTAAACCGTTTGTTTGAAAACACAGCTTTATGGAAACGCGTATGGGTGTGCTCCTTCACCTTCTTTGGAACTTGCTTCACCTCGCTTCAGCTATAGGACTCCTATGCTCAAATGTATGCTTCCCATGAGAAAGCGGCGTTCTTTCGGTGTTCTTTTCTGTGATGGTTGCAGGTGAGGTTGACAAGAGCTGTCAGTACGATTCTTTGTTTCCTTTGCAGTATCCAAAACTCCGGATTACAGCGGATCTTCTCCTCTGATCCGAAAAGCTTCGCGGGCCAAAAGAGAATTGAGATGAAGAAGGAAATAGAGAATGCAGACCAATACTTCCAATTACCACCCGTAAGTTTTGTGAAGGAATCGGGTGCCATTCTGTAGTGGTAGAAAGTTAATAAAATCCTGATCGTGCACTTGAAGGCAAGCAATGCTCTAAAAACGAAGAATGCAAGGCCCTGCTTAAGGGCAATCTTCAGGCTGCTTCTCGATCAGCAGCTGATTTGCTTCTTCCACACCCTCATCTCCACTTGCTTAGAAGTTGTGGAGGTCGGAAGCACACTCCGTGTTTTTCATCCCCTCTGTGTATCTTTTCCCTGACAGCAACTTCTGTCTTGGCTCTTCACATCCAGCCAGAGCAGTTTCTTTGCCTCCGCAACCTGCAGGCTGTCCTCGCGTGTGTACCTGTGGTGGACTGAGGGTAATGTTTGTAACGCACACAGATGCTGTATTCACTAGCACTTTGAGAAAAGAGAGCAAGAAGCTAACCTGCGCAGCAGTTTCTTAGGTTTCTGTCTATCTATCTACCTATCTCTCTGCATATATATTTCATTACTTATTTACTTATTTAATGATCCTTTAAATATAGTAGATCCTTTAAGAAAGCTTACTTGTCCTTCTCCTTTACTTGTTTTTAACGTTAACTTTTCTAACCAATCCTTAATGTTGCAACCTTGGATTTATTTAGTTCTCAGTTCTTAGAAGTTCTCAAAGCACATCAGTGATTTCTATAGTTCTCAGTCTTTCCATCTGCATTGAGACCTTTTATCTGGATTTAGGTATGAGGTGAAGAAGAACACTGAAACCAGCTGAAGCCGTATCGGCCACATGCTTCTGCTCGGAAGTAATTCAGAGTGATTCCATGGTGTACTTTAGACAGATTTCCTCTGGTCCTCTGGACTCAGCATCCCCAAGGGATATTTCAAAGCTCTCTGAAGGACCTGTCATTATCGCTGACACTGCAGTCTCCATTAGGAAGGGGTAAATAGTCCTTGCCCTTGTGCAAAGGAACTACTCAGTTAGCTGTTTCTAACCCAAATCTCTTTGTTGTCTTCTGTTGACAGACACCACCCGGCTAGCCAAGCTCTGAAACTGAAAATGGAAGGAGTGGGACATCTTCAAAAGCCTGCTGCTGCTTCTAAGCAGAACTGCGATGTAGGTGGGGACACAGCAAGAGGACACGTCCAGGCCACGGTGGAACTGCAAGGCACCTGTCTGAGCCACAGAACAAAGTCAGCGATTCCCAGTTGGAGACTGTTGCTCGACCAGTGACACAGCAGCTGGAGCACTTCTGGTTGCTGCTGATGGGTTCCCATGAATCAGCCAGGGATAGGAGCTATGAGAACGACTGAAGCGATTTGAAGTTGCCCGAAAGAAAGAAGAGAGGAGAGAAGAAGACAAGAGGGGAGGGAAGGGGAGGGAATAAAAGGAAGGGAGGGGACTGGAGGGGAGGGGAAGGGAGGGAAGGGGAGGGAAAGGGAGGGAAGGGGAGGGCAGGGGAAGATAGTGTAGGGGAGGTTAGGATAGGGTAGGATAGGGTAGCGTAGCATAGCATAGCGGAGTGTAGCATGTTAGAGGGGAGGGAAGCGTAGGAGAGTATAGGGTAGTGTAGGGGAGCGGAGTTTAGGGGAGTGTAGGGTAGGATAGGGGAGGGGAGTGTAGGAGAGCATAGGGGAGGGGAGCATAGGGTAATGTAGGGTAGTGTAGCGAAGGGGAGTGTAGACTAGGATAGGGGAGGGGAGTGTAGGGGTGTGTAGGGTAGTATAGGGGAGGGGAGTGTAGCAGAGTGTAGGGACAGGGAGCATAGGGGAGGAGAGGGGAGAGGAGGGGAGGAGAGGGGAGAGGAGGGGAGGGGAGCATAGGGTAATGTAGGGTAGTGTAGCGAAGGGGAGTGTAGGCTAGGATAGGGGAGGGGAGTGTAGGGGTGTGTAGGGACAGGGATCATAGGGGAGGGGAGGGGAGGGGAAGGGAGGGGAGGGGAGGGGATGGGAGGGGAGGTAAAAGAGGGGATGGGAGGGGAGGCAAAAGAGGGGAGGGGAGGGGATGGACAGCAAAAGAGCGGTGGGGAGGGGAGGGGAGGGGAGGCAAAAGAGGGGAGGGGAGGGGAGGGGATGGACAGCAAAAGAGGGGAGGGGAGGGGAGGGGATGGACAGCAAAAGAGCGGTGGGGAGGGGAGGGGAGGGGAGGGGAGGGGAGGCAAAAGAGGGGAGGGGAGGCAAAAGAGGGGAGGGGAGGGAATGGACAGCAAAAGAGCGGTGGGGAGGGGAGGGGAGGGGAGTGCTACCATAAATAAAATTGCCAAATACATGACATTTTGGATCTGGAGCCATATATTTGTGTTGCTGAAGGGATGCAAGACACAGACTCCTGATGGCTCTTGAACAGGAGGCGTTTATTGCCCTTTTTCACTCCTACATGTCCTCTCCCCGTAGCCCCACGTGCTGTCCACGCGCCCGAATCTATCCCACAGTTGGTCAGAGACCCTCAGACACGCGCCTGGAGCCAGCCAGCAATTGCCCACTGCCCAAAGGTCCTCTTTAACACTGTAGCCAATTCTTGATCTCAGCCTCGCTCAAGGTTTTGTTCCTACTGCTTGTTTCCTCATTACCTCTAATTCAGGGACCTGCGAAACAGCGCGAAGCCACCTGAAAATTCCCTCCCCACACGTTGCCATTCATTCCACAACCTGATTTATCGCTGCCATCCGCGCCTTGCACAGTGCCATGAAAGGTTTGGCGTGCACAGAGCTGGCTGAGGATTTTCAGAAATAACTTTCCTTAAGAACTGCATCAAGACTTTTGCTGGAAGGCAAAAGATCGGGTGATTGATTAACCCAGGGATGGCAGCTGAGCAAGGGAAGCATCTTCCAAACTTCCAAATATTGCCTGTAGACAGAACTACAACTCCTCTGCTCTGCGCTTAGGAGTTTCCGTCACCTGCTTAGGAAGCAGAAGCAGTAACATGGGATTTAGAGGATCCAGCTGAAGCATCAGTGCCAGTTAGAGGAAACCAGTTAGAGGGTTTGAGGAGAGTTTGACCGGTTTTCCAAGGAACATGTACTAGTGCTGCATCTATATGCATAGAAATATCTCTACACCTGGCTTGTATCAGAACTAGAGCGGCCATCAGGACTAGGGAAGCGGTTGTCCCTCTGTGCTCGGCTCTGGTGAGGCCGCACCTCGAATTGCACACTGTGTTCAGCGAAGACCTCGAGGTGCTGGAGCGTGTCCGCAGAAGGGCTCTGAAGCTTGTGAAGGGTTTAGAGAACAAGTCTGGTGAGGAGCGGCTGAGGGGGCTGGGGTTGTTCAGCCCGGAGAAAAGGAGGCTCAGGGGAGACCTTCCTGTGCTCTACAGGAAGCTGAAAGGAGGCTCCAGAGAGGTGGGGGTCGTTCTCTTCTCCCAAGCCCCAAGTGACAAGAACAAAACCCCTTAGGTTGTACCAGGGGAGGTTTCGGTTGGTTCTTACGAAAAATTTCTTCACCAAAAGAGTTGCTCTGGTGGGTTTACGTGGCAAGGTTTTGGTAGCAGGGGGCCACAGGGGTGGCTTCCGGGAGAAGAATCTAGAAGCTGCCCCACGTTAGATAAGGGCTCCACTGCTGGCCAGAGCCAAGCCAAGAAACGATGTCGCTTGTTCCTCTGTGAGAGCATATTGAAGAAAGGAGAAAAAAAAGAACAACAAAAAAAGCTGCTTCACAGGGAGAAAGAGAGGAGAAGCAGCCCTGCAGCCCCCCAGGTGAGTGCAGCAGGAGGGCAGGAGGTGCTGCAGGCAGGCAGCAGCAGTTCCCCTGCGGGCTGTGCAGGGAGAGGCCCCGGTGGAGCAGGCTGTCCCCCTGCAGCCCATGGGTCCCCCATGGAGCAGATCTCCACGCTGCAGCCCCCCCGTGGGTGGAGGAGCCCCCGGTGGAGCAGGTTGGATGTGGCCTGGAGGAGGCTGCGGCCCATGGAGAGCCCCTGCAGGAGCAGGGGGTCTGGGCGCAGCTGCAGCCCATGGACAGGAGCCCACGCAGGAGCAGGTCTGGGGAGAGCTGCCGCCCGTGGGGGACCTGTGCTGGAGCAGTTTGCTCCTGGGGGATGGACCCCATGGTGCGGAGCCATGCAGGAGCAGTTCTTTGGGAGCAGTTCTTGAAGAGCTGCAGTCTGTGGGCAGCCTCTGCAGGATCAGTTTGGGAAGGATAGCATCCCATGGGAGGGACCCCATTTGGAGCAGGGGCAGAGAGTGACTGTGAAGGAGCGGTGGAGATGAAGCATTAGGGACTGACCACAGCCCCCATGTCTTGTTCCCCTGCATTGCTCAGGGGGAGGAGATGGAAGAGGGAAGGTGTTTCACTTCTCTAGCTTGTTAGTAATAGGTGATGCATTTCGCTAATCTCCCTATACTGAATCTGTTTTGCCCGTGACAATAATTGTTAAGTGATCTCCCCATCCTTATCTCAGCCCTTGAGCCCTTTGCATCATATTTTCTCTCCTTTTTCCTTTGAGAAGGGGGAGCGAGAGAGCATTTGTGGTGGAGCTTGACTGCCCACATGACTAAAACCACCAGTTTGTTGTTACGAAGATTCCAACAGTGTTCAGAAAAATACTTAGTAAAGTGACTTTCTCTGTTATTGCCATTTTGGTTTTGTAATATCTCTGGTCAAAGATGTGAAGCTAAATGCACAGCACAATTGTGACAGCGTTGTTTTTAGTTACTGTGTGGATTATCTCTCAGTGCTTTCTGTTATTGAATGTCTGAAGTGTATATTCATTGGTTTTTTATTATTATTACTGTTTTTTAACTTTTTTTTTTTTCCCCATTGACTTCATGTTGCTGAGGTATGACTTTTATTTTTAAATATGAGGAGTTGCCAAGATGAGTCTTTCCAGGGAAGAGAAGCAGAAGGATGGAAGCTTTAAATTTTACCCTAATCTTGTCAATAGAGGCTTTCTCAAGGTCTTCCCAGAAGAATTAGGCTATTCTAAAATGTACCAACTGGATAAATAATTTTAAACTTGCTCAAAATGTCATAAAAAAGGCAGACTATTTCCACATAGTGCTGGTACACTTGAAACGTAGATAGATTTCTTTCAGTCTTTTCTTTATCATGCCAGACTCTTGTCTGTGGGGGCTCCCTAGATAAATTCTAACTGCCTCGAAGGTTAATTATTAATATCTCATCCACAGGGCTTTGTAGGTATTGCTTTCTTTGTATTTAAAGTTTTATGTCATGAATATCACAAATGTCACATCACAAAACTTTGTGTATAAACCTATATTGTTACCTGTTCTATTTGATGTATTCATAAGAGTTTTTGGAATCTCTTCTCCTATTCTGAAAAATTTACCTTTTCATTTAATATAAAGTGTATGTGGAACTACATTAAAAGATTACTCTTTGGTAAATAGCAAATATGTTGAGCAACAAAAACAAAAAGAATTCTTTGTGCCCCTGAAAACCATTTCACTCAAATGAGCAAAGCAAATGCACAGTTTGGCTATCTCAAATAACATTATTCTTCTGAGCATACTTTTTGTCCTTAAAGATAAGCCTATTTTTAAACTTTGTGTTGAAGTATGAAAACACAAGTGTGTAAATTTATAGTATCACTTTTAGTCATGCCTGTGAAAGAAGCTTTTTAACAGAAGTATTCAAAGGAATTGGTCATTAAATTCATACAAGGATGTTTCAGTGAATGCAGCTTTATATACCTATGAACATAATGGGAAAGGCAGTGACACTTAATTTTTCTCAATTCTGCAATGAATTTGAGTAAAAAACTCTTCACAACCACCTTCCGCTGTCTTACTTCACTTCATACAATGTTCCACTTCAAAACATTATTTAAAATCCTGTTGAAAAAGCTATTTAAAATCCCTGGATCTTGGAAAATATATTAGAAAATATATTGTTGGTGTATTTTTAGACTACATTGCTCTGTATTAGCTATTGACAATGGCTGCATTGTTTTGTAGTCTGATATATGAACCCATAGGGTTATATAAGCACTTCTATAAAGATTTTTTATTTCCTGTTTTACCACTATGTGCCTTAAAACAACTCTTTACTAAGGTGGAATCTCTAGGAGAATTGCATGTTTCCTATCAATGGGATTTTCTCATTGCTAACCAGACATG